CTAAATAAATAAATTTGGTACCTGGAGTTTACCTGGAGAGAGTTCCGGGGGTCAACGCCCCCGCGGCCCGGTCTGTGACCAGGCTTCCTGGTGGATCAGAGCCTGATCAACCAGGCTGTTGCTGCTGGCTTCACGCAAACCAACGTACGAGCCACAGCCCGGCTGGTCAGGAACCGACTTTAGGTGCTTGTCCAGTGCCAACTTGAAGACTGCCAGGGGTCTGTTGGTAATCCCCCTTATGTATGCTGGGAGGCAGCTGAACAGTCTCGGGCCCCTGACACTTATTGTATGGTCTCTTAACGTGCTAGTGACACCCCTGCTTTTCATTGGGGGGATGTTGCATCGCCTGCCAAGTCTTTTGCTTTCGTAGTGAGTGATTTTCGTGTGCAAGTTCGGTACTAGTCCCTCTAGGATTTTCCAGGTGTATATAATCATGTATCTCTCCCGCCAGCATTCCAGGGAATACAGGTTCAGGAACCTCAAGCGCTCCCAGTAATTGAGGTGTTTTAATCTCCGTTATGCGTGCCGTGAAGGTTCTCTGTACATTTTCTAGGTCAGCAATTTCACCTGCCTTGAAAGGTGCTGTTAGTGTGCAGCAATATTCCAGTCTAGATAGAACAAGTGACTTGAAGAGTGTCATCATGGGCTTGGCATCCCTAGTTTTGAAGGTTCTCATTATCCATCCTGTCATTTTTCTAGCAGATGCGATTGATACAATGTTATGGTCCTTGAAGGTGAGATCCTCCGACATGATCACTCCCAGGTCTTTGACGTTGGTTTCGCTCTATTTTGTGGCCAGAATTTGTTTTGTACTCTGATTAAGATTTAATTTCCTCGTGTTTGCCATATCTGAGTAATTGAAATTTCTCATCGTTAAACTTCATATTGTTTTCTGCAGCCCACTGAAAGATTTGGTTGATGTCCGCCTGGAGCTTTGCAGTGTCTGCAATGGAAGACACTGTCATGCAGATTCGGGTGTCATCTGCAAAGGAAGACACGGTGCTGTGGCTGACATCCTTGTCTATGTCAGATATGAGGATGAGGAACAAGATGGGAGCAAGTACTGTGCCTTGTGGAACAGAGCTTTTCACCGTAGCTGCCTCGGACTTTACTCTGTTGACTACTACTCTCTGTGTTCTGTTAGTGAGGAAATTATAGATCCATCGACCGACTTTTCCCGTTATTCCTTTAGCACGCATTTTGTGCGCTATTATGCCATGGTCACACTTGTCGAAGGCTTTTGCAAAGTCTGTATATATTACATCTGCATTCTTTTTGTCTTCTAGTGCATCTAGGACCTTGTCGTAGTGATCCAATAGTTGAGACAGACAGGAGCGACCTGTTCTAAACCCATGTTGCCCTGGGTTGTGTAATTGATGGGTTTCTAGATGGGTGGTGATCTTGCTTCTTAGGACCCTTTCAAAGATTTTTATGATATGGGATGTTAGTGCTATCGGTCTGTAGTTCTTTTCTGTTGCTTTACTGCCCCCTCTGTGGAGTGGGGCTATGTCTGTTGTTTTTAGTAACTGTGGGACGACCCCCGTGTCCATGCTCCCTCTCCATAGGATGGTAAAAGCTCGTGATAGGGGCTTCTTGCAGTTCTTGATGAACACGGAGTTCCATGAGTCTGGCCCTGGGGCAGAGTGCATGGGCATGTCATTTATCGCCTGTTCGCTGTCACTTGGAGTCAGGATAACATCAGATAGGCTTGTGTTAACCAAATTCTGTGGCTCTCTCATAAAAAATTCATTTTGATCTTTGACTCTCAGTCTGGTTAGCGGCTTGCCACCGAGTTAATCTGTTCTAGGCATAAGTTGGGGTCTGTGTTGCTTAGTATATCTTCCCAGCTTATATCAGTTAGGATTTGGTTTACTTGGTCCCACTTTATGTTTTTGTTATTGAAGTTGAATTTGGTGAATGCTCCCTCGTGACTAATCTCATTATGTCGGTCTGGGGCTCTGCGCATACATGTCTGAACCTCAATTATGTTGTGATCTGAGTATATTGTTTTTGATACACTTAACGCTATTTCAGAATATATTGCAGGGACTAAATCTTTTAATGGACACTGATCCACCTCCTGTTCCTTCTCTTCCCTCTCCTCCATCTCCACAACTCCATTCTTCGCAACGCTCCGTTTCTTCACTGCTTGAACGTTTTCCGATGCCACCGCACGTAGACTTTTCTAACCTTTCTAGTCCATAGGTGCCCTTACCTGCGGATTCCTGGTATTTTCCTCGTTGCAAATCATGGCCTATTTACAGTGGAATATCTGCGGCCTCGGGTAATCGGGGTGAGCTTCAGATGTTGCTTTCTAGGTTTTCCCCTGTTGGTGTTTGCTTACAAGAACCAAAATTACACTCAGCTGTTTTCCAACCCATCTCAGGCTACAATTTATTGTATTCTTCGGATCCTTTCTCAGATGGGACCTTTAATTAATGAAAGTGCCCTTCTTCTATGCAATGATATTCCATACTGTCAACTATTTGTCCATACCTCGCTGCATTACACTGCAGCCCATATTCACTTGAATAAGTGGTTTACAATATGTTCTTTATATCTCTCTCCTTCTCAGGCATTATCTATCCCAGATTTTGCCTTTCTTGTTTCATCCTTACCGCCACCACTTCTGTTACTTGGCGATTTTAATCCCCACCATTTCCTCTGGGGGGTCTCATTGTGACTCACGTGGCATTCAGTTGGAGACTTTTCTCGCTTCTCACCCCCTCCACGTTTTAAATTCGAGTACCCCCACCCATTTTGATCCTTGTACTCACACTCTCTCTTGCATCAATCTCTCGGTCTGCTCTTCCTCCACTGCACTAGACTTCACCTGGTCTGTTCTACCGGACTTACATGACAGCGATCACTTTCCAGTCATTCTTACTTCTCCTTCATATTCACCACCACTTCGTAGCCCTCGCTGGCAATTTGATCGAGCAAATTGGGACCTTTACTTGCAACTGACTGCTTTTAGTGAAGTTCCTTCTTCATCCTCCATTGACGAACTTTTACACCTCTTCTTGACATCAGTTTTAACCGCAGCTTCTCATTCTATCCCCCAAACCTCAGGCAGGCATTCTCAGAAGTGTGTGCCATGGTGGTCTCCTGCCTGTGCTCGGGCAGTACGTTTGAAACACACTGCGTGGGGCAGGTACCGGTACAATAGAACCACAGAGGGATTAAGGATTAAGGCTCTCTCGAGCCTTAATCCCATCCATCACCAGGGATTACGTTTATGCCTTGTTGCTTTTCGCTCTTCCCCTGTTGAGAGCCTCTATGCAGAAGCAAATATTCCAACCTTGTCCGATCGCCGCAATGCCCATTGCCTTCGCTACTATGTTCGCTCTCATGATCTCCGCAATCCTTCCATATATAGAATAGTCACCGATGTTAGTAGACATTATTTGTTCGTCGCCCCTGTTTGCTCCATCCCTTTTCTCTTCGACTACATTCGCTCTTGTCTTCCCTTCAGTTACCACCTTTCTATGTTCATGTAGCATCTCACTTTTCCCTGCCCCCCTGGGAAGTTCCAGCTGTCCAGGTCTGTTCTTTCTCATTCCCTTGCGCGAAAGCCCAACTGCCTATGGTAGCTTCCTGCTCTCTTTTTCTTGATCACTTCCGCTCTCATTCTCATGCCATCGCAGTGTACACAGATGGCTCTAAGTCTTCTGATGGCATCGGATTCGAAGCAGTGTTTCCGGACAGTGTCATGCGAGGACATTTACTATCCTCAGCTAGCATTTTTACAGCTGAATTGTATGCAGTACATAACCTACCAGTTTCATATAGAGGTGTTCCATTTACGGACTATTTTGCTGTAATAGCTACCCACCTTCACACCCGTTGGCAACAACGTTGGTCTAATCTGCTCAGTAACAAACTTCAGTCTATTAAAGCAATTATAGGTAACTGGCCATCTTCTTGTCATCAGTGTCGAGGTTGGGAGACCATTCTCTCCCGTCTTCGCATTGGCCACGCTCGTCTTACTCATGGGTATCTCATGGAAAGGCGCCCTGTTTCTCTCTGTGAGAAGTGTCAGGTTCCAGTATTGATTAGCCACATTCTGTTAGACTGCCCTCTCTATCAACTAGCACGCAGAATTTACCTCCAACGTCATCTCTGCTCTCCTACTCTTTCTTTACCTTCCCTTCTTGCTGATGGACCCTCCTTTAATCCTGACTCTCTCACTGACTTCTTGACAACGACTGATTTACTCCACAAACTCTGATACCTTTCGCACTCCCTTTCTACCTCAATCTTTTGCTGCCCTCTACCCTTTTGCTATCCACTGCCCCGCTATTCTCCATAACCTACTACTCATCCCTCTCCCTTTTGCCACCTGATACCCTCGCTTCCTTCCTGCCCTGCAGCACTGTATAGCCGTTGTGGTTTAGCACATCTTTTTTATTATAATAATAATAATAATAATGTTCGAAAACCAGTACTTACCAATGTCCTTTCTAAATCTAAATTTATCCAATTTAAATCCATTATTTCTGGTTCTTACCTGGTTCGACACCCTCAGTACTTTACTAATATCACCTTTGTTTAAGCCCATCATCCACTTATACACTTCGATGATATCTCCCCTCATTCTACGTCTCTCCATTATTATTATTATTATAATCAAGGGGGAAGCGCTAAACCCAGAGGATTATACAGCGCCTGGGGGGGGATGTGGAAGGCATTCAGGCTTAATTCGGGGAACTGGAGCACAGATCCAATTCCCTAAATCAAGAGCCCCTCACCAACATCAAGGAACCTTCCTTGAGGGGTACGTCTCTCCAGAGAGTGGAGATTCAAGGCTCTAAAGCTGTCTTCATATGGGAGATTCCTTATACAGTAAATCATTTTAGTCATTCTTCTCTGTATGTTCTCTGAGTCTATATCCATCCTGTAGTAAGGAGACCAGAACTGAGCAGCATAATCCAAATGAGACCTGACTAGTGATGTATAGAGCTGTAAAATAACTGTTGGGATTTTTTCATACTCAATAGTTTATCTCTAATTTTTTATTTTTCAACAAACATATACCATACTGAATTTCTTGACATTTTCCTTTGTGAACTTGTCACAAGGGATAACCACATATCTATACACTCAACAATTTTCAAAGGATAATCCAGTCAACATACAGTACATTTATGCTAAAATAAAAGATAATTTTCATTATCATTGCCATAAACAAAAAACTGAAAATTATTTTGTATGCTATTTCATTTATAAAAATAACATAAAGCTAATAAAGCCCACAGTTTACAAAATTTCTAGTTTCAGTGCTCACAGAACTGAGTTATATACTGTATACATGAACTGTACTTTTATCAAGTAAATTATTATACAGTATATTAAAGGGAAGCACTAAACTCATAAATATAAAGGGGTAGAAAATATAAAGAAGACAGTAGACTGCTTTGCTGTTTAGCTAACAGTATACTGATAAAATAAAGTAACATTTTTGTTAAATTATGTTCAGATTATTTGTGGTACCCTAGACAGTCAGTCTAACCTAACAGATGAAATAACTTCCTGAACACATCTTCATATATATATATATTTTTATGTTATTAATGAAAAAGTACTAAACTCACTGGGGGTCATCAAATACCGAAATTTCTTTTATGGAAACAGTCACACAAACTGACAAAAAGAGTTGAGGATTTGTCTTCCATGGGGTGTGCTTCAGGGAATGCAGAGGTTATTAAGGCCACAATTCACCTAGACATTAGCAGAACTTACAAAGTGAATCCCTAAAAATAATTTGAAGTAAACTCTTAAGGGTATACCCCTAATTATACGTATCTACACAGGTGCATACTATACTTTTGATTTTTTTTCAAATCTGTTCTATAACTTGATTGAATAAGATAAGAGTAGACACATTTTGCAGCTTTTACTGTCATGCACTGACATTATTGTAAATTTCATTTATTTATTGTGAGTTAAATTTACATTATTACCAACATTTAATGTTTTATTAATTTACTGTTATTTCTTTCTTTATTAAATTAATATTTATATTTTCCCAACACAAAAAAAGACAGTTGCCCTGGTTAATACACTAGAAAAGAACATATACTCTTTTTGAAGACCCTCATTAGTGCAACTTTACATAAATTATACTATTAACTAGGTCTGTACGGTGTAATTATTGGTACAGGTTGGCCATCACTAATCCAGCAATCAGTAATCTGGTTCCATCAGTAATCCGGCACTAATTTTGGCTACCATTATTTCAAATTTCTGGGGTCACCACACCAACCTGTTGCTATTGTTTGGTGACACTACTTGCTACATAAGTCATTCCAGTTTTTTTTCTCCATTTATTGTTATAACTTGCTTGCTCTTAGCCCGAGCCATGATTCCAACGAACAAAACAAATGCTTCTCATTGTGTAAAGCACATATACCGTACTATGTCCATAAAAGATAAGGTGGCTTTGAAGCCACTGTCAGTCACCATGAGCTCAGCTCACTCAGATAAGCTGTGACTGGTAAATTTGGGCCTACATATGAGAGAATAGGCCTGTGTGGTAAATGTGCACTATACAAAAATAAATCATGCAGCATGCAGTGCATGAGAAAAAAACTGCGACTCTTGTGTATAACAGCAAGTTTGCGGTGTATTTTTGTATAGTTTTCATGGCTGTATTCTCTTTTTATTTTATATAACCGGACTTGAGTCCTGGAAATGGGAAGTAAAATGCCTGCACTCTAAAGGAGGGGTTTGGGATATTGGCAGTTTGGAGGGATATATTGTGTATTTTTATACGTATATACAGTGGACCCCCGCTTAACGATCACCTCCCAATGCGACCAATTATGTAAGTGTATTTATGTAAGTGCGTTTGTACGTGTATGTTTGGGGGTCTGAAATGGACTAATCTACTTCACAATATTCCTTATGGGAACAAATTCGGTCAGTACTGGCACCTGAACATACTTCTGGAATGAAAAAATATCATTAACTGGGGGTCCACTGCATTTCTAAACTGTTGTATCCTGGGCACCTCTGCAAAAACAGTGATAATGTGTGAGTGAGGTGAAAGTGTTGAATGATGAAGAAAGTATTTTCTTTTTGGGGATTTTCTTTCTTTTTGGGTCACCCTGCCTCGGCGGGAAACGGCCGACTTGGGGAAAAAAAAAAAATCTCCCTTTTTTTTTTTGTCTCATTTGATAGAATGGAAGATATATTACAGAAATAGTTATGATTTTGATTGGTTTCAAGACACAAAGTATCTTGAAATTGAGCTCAAAGTAGCAGAAATGCTCAATCTTTGCTGATGTTCAAGAGTAAACAAACGATGTCACCATCCAATACATGTCCAACTGGGCTGTCTAATACGCGGTCATGAATGGGTTGACATTATTTATATAATTATTACGATAATGCAGTAGTCTACATAACAGTAAATCTATTTTTTGTGTGAATAAAAATTCAAAATGGAAAGCAAGAGTAATATAAGAGGGACCTGGAGACATTACTAATGGACAGAGAAAATGTTATTTTAGTGCCAGGAATGTCTGCATTGTTTATTCTGGACCCTATTTTAAAATTGGCATTTTTTGAAATTTGTGTGAAACTGGCCAAATTACCAATTTCTGACCACTTCATTGGGTAGTTGAAATAGGTGAATGGGCAGTTTCTTGTATTCAGTTGGCAGTATAGAAAGAATACTAGCAAAATAGCTGAGTTTGGTAGACCGGATCAACAGAATGGGCTAAAAATAGGGCATAAAGTAGGTGAAATTGCCGATGCGTAAATATCGCCATTGGGTTAAGTGTATTCTAACCTAACGACTCTGTAATCCAGCAAACTCCCTAATCCGGCAAAATCACTAATCCAGCACCCTACAGGTCCTGATGATGCCGGATTAGTGATGGCCAACCTATACGTACTAATTTTTAAATAAGGTTACGAGATTACAATAGTAGAGTATTATTAGTTTTTATATTACACTAAAAACAAAAGAAAACTTGAAAATATTAATATTAAAATGACAGTCTATGCAATGTACAGCATCATCTTCAGTGTCTTAATACACAGATATTAAAGAACAATCACTAATGACTTCCATCAAGGAGTGCCTTTGGATCAATCCTAACGGCCTTCTATTTCCCAGCCCTGTAAGGTCCTTACAGGTTTAGCATTTCTCCATAATAATAATTATTACTGATTTTTATTAATCAAGAGATTTATGAGATAACTTTAAACTTAATATCCAGGGTGATTTAGTTATTGATATTCAACAAATGTGCAGAAACAAGGTAAGAATTAACAGGTGGAAGTCAATTCCTGCAGGTTCAGATGACTGTAAAAAATAAATATACAGTAACAATATATACTACATAAATAAACAAATGACTTCATGATATTTAGTCTTATGGTAACCACTTTCTCTATGGATTAAACACTAAATAATCAAAGCTACCACCCAACCACACTACATATGCACTCACTGATTTACAAGGACAATAAGAAATTTTTTTTGTTTCTGCATATTAAAATGTATTATGTAATACTTTTTAATTAAAGTATATAAATAAAACGTAGATGCATTACAAACACTGAAAACACTTTATTAAATCTTTACTCAAAAAATATAATATACACTGTACTGTAGTTTTTTCTTTTTAAGTTTTGTACCATTTTCAGAGAATAAAATTTTTCATATATTCTTTGACATGCAATAGTTCTAATGTAAATAAAATATTACATATATACTTTCTCCTAAATGATAAATCTTATGTACTAATCCAAGAAACAAATTTTGTCCACTATAGATGTGATGAGGTATATTTATGCAAATAATGGGAAAATATGACTACCTGTTGATACAAATATTATCTGCAGGCTTCATATGATCTCTTACATAACTTTTGATCAAATAAATTTTACATGGCAAAATTTATTTTTCATTCATTATTTGCATGATTACCTTTAAGAAACACTACAATGCAGACAATCTACACATGCAGCAACAAAATATATACTGTATAACCTCTATGTATGTTACATACACACAGACACACCTGTTAAAACTGAAAAAAAAGTCTTAAAAAAAAAATCATCTTAGATTAAAAAAAAAAAAAAGTTTTAGGTGGAGAATGGTGTTCAAATATAACATACTATAAGGAAGCTAAAAGCTTGTGGTATAGTAGTTTCATGATAGTCTAAGCACTAGCTTTATTTTGAAGCATTATTGCTACCATACTCTCAACAGCACGCTTGAGTCCAAGAATATTTTCATTTAGGGTATGCCCCATTGTCAAAATATTTGAATTCAGAGTTCTGAGATGAACATTCATTTCTTTTTGAACTGTCAGCAGATCCATATCTGAATCCTCTGTTTGATTTGTGAAATTTTCAGGTTTTTCTTCCCACTTTCTTTTCTTAGTATCATGTACTGAAATTCTGTTGTTTACATCATTTTTCATCATGCCTGTATCTTGTGTGTTAATGTGCAAATGTGGCTCAATTACCTTAGAATATGTAGAATTCTGAATGTGTGATGCATAACCATTAGACAGAGAAGGAGTCATACTGGGTGATTGCATATAAGAAGAATGTGTTGTATTGTTTGGAAGATTTGTGACAGAAGTTTGAGAATGAAGTGTTTGTGTAGGCCAAGTTGCTGTGGAAACAATCTGATTTTGAGAAGAATATGTTGCTTGAGTTTGTGATGATGTCTCTGTTGCAAAATGAGTATGAGAAGAGTTTTGATTCTCGGTAGGTTGCAAGGAGGAATGCGTAGAGACGCCAACACATGAAGTAGAGTTATTTAGTACATTAGACCTAGAAGGTGTAGAAGATAACAGTGTTGACATATTAAAGGCAGGAGAGGATGTGTTAGCCCCTTCAACTGTGGGTGGTGAAGAAGAAGAGTGAGACGTTGTTATAATTAACTCTGGTGATGGTGGGCAAGGCAAGAAATCTGGAGACACTGATATGGTTTCTGGAACTGGTGAAGGTGAGACAACTGGATCTGGATACACCTTCCTAGATTTGGCTAGTGCTTGAAGGTTTCCTGGTGCTGGTAGAGCTGGGTGCTGTTCTTAATAATTTCATCCATATCCTGTAATTTGAGGAAATGTTAATGATGTTTACTCTTTGTAATTTATAAAACAAACCAAGGCTACCATTTAATGAAGAAGTCATGCATCCAGTCAGTATAAAATAACATTTCCAAGAATAATTTTTTAACTTAATATATAAGTTTAAGAAAGTAATAAGCAATATTTTTCCATAAGTTATTTGCAACACACATTTATTGCTAAACTAATATGTCACTATCTCAAGTTTAGTTCAGAACCTTGTTGAATAACTCAAGATTATTTATCTTACATTGTGCTGGATTTATACATCTGAACATTAGCATTTTACTAACTTTTAATTATGTTTGATTACAGTACATAACAGGAAGAGAAGGCAAGAAAAATATTAGCTTTGCAAAAGACAGTTCAAAATGGGATGATTCAAACAGTACAGTATACAGGAGTCTTTCATGTGCCCCCTTGGGTTACAGTAAAAAAAATCATGAAGCTGGTATAAATTTCGCTCTAAAGGTCTCATCCTCTAAGAAAAAACATTTTTTCCTGCACACAACCTGTAGTTAATCTCCTGGCTGTATACTTACAACAGGCTTGTTAATACATTGGAACCTCTACTTGTAAGTGCATCCATGTGCGAGCTTTTCCAGATATGAGCAGTCACTCGGTCAATTTTTTGCTTCCAGACCCAAGCGAAATTTCCAGATGCAAGCGGGCCTTGAAGGAGGTTCCTTGACGCTGGTGAGGGGCTCTTGCTCTTAATCTAGAGAACTGGATCTCAGTTGTTTGTCGGACTATCTTACTGAAACTTGGGCAATGTATGATGGAAAGATGCTTTTTAGCGTACACCAAAAATGAAAGAAATTGGGCCATAAATAACAGAGTTCACTTCTCAGCCATTAGCCTCCCATTAGCGGCATATTTTTGTATTTTTTTGTTTTTGTTGTATTCTCGTTTTTTTTGGTCTCATTTGATAGAATGGAAGATATACTACAGAAATAGATAAGATTTTGATTGGTTTCACGATGAAAAGCACATTGAAATTGAGCTCAAAGTAGCAGAAATGTTCAATTCTTTGGCGATGTTCAAAACTAAACAAATGACGTCACTGTCCAATACGTATCTGTCCAACTGGCACTGCCCCTCAGCCTTCATATATTGGAAAGCTCTTCAACACGCTAGCAAAAGTAGGAGCAGACATCATGAGGTAGCAGTGGCAGAAAACATGAAGCAGCAGTGGCAGACATCATGAGGTAGCCATGGCAGACATCATGAGGTAGCAGTGGCAGACAACATGAAGTAGCAGTGGCAGACATCATGAGGTAGCAGTGGCAGAAAACATGAAGCAGCAGTGGCAGACATCATGAAGCAGCAGTGGCAGACATCATGAAGCAGCAGTGGTAGACATGAGGTAGCAGTGGCAGACAACATGAAGCATCAGTGGCAGACATGAAACAGCAGTGGCAGACATCATGAAGCAGCAGTGGCAGACATCATGAGGCAGCAATGGCAGACAACATGAAGCAGCAGTGGTAAAGTGTAGCATTAAGAGTGTAGCAATTAAGTGTGGCATTCAGAGTGTAACAATTAAGTGTAGCATTAAGAGTGTAGCACTTGTAAGTCACTCTGTCTGACTTTTTTGGGTTATCCTAGGTTCTCTACACATGTAGTCAGGAGCAGGAATGGTCGCTGTGGTGGCCCTATAAACCCCAACAACAATGGCCACTGTCACCACCACTAGCCACCTACGTAATGACATGTATTTTATTCATTCTAGTGTACATATCGTGTTTCTATACTGTTAATATTGTTTATTATGTCATATTACATGAATTGTGATATATAAATAAGCCGTAAATTGATATTAGGGAAATTATTGAAGTATTTTCTCATGCCTGGAATTCCACTGGAATGAATGAATTCCATTTCAATTAATTTAAATGAGGAAAATTGACTCTGCAAACGAACAAATCCAGATGTGAGCAAGGTCATGGAACGGACTGAACTCGTAAGTAGAGGTTCCACTGTATATAATTTTTTATTTCCAAATTAGCAGAAGGCACGTGCACATTACAAAATTAATAATCATACTATCAGAGAAAATTAAGAAAATGATTAATAGACAACAGAATGAGTTTTTTTTATTAGCAAAACAGGATATGTATATTACTAATATATTAGTCTTTTTTTTTTTTTTGTCATACCAACCATCTCAAACTCAGGTAGTAGTCAAAGATTTCGGCTCTGACACAAAACCAAAACTGCAGCTAGCTTACTGCTAGTGCTTGGAATTTACTTATAAATTTGTTTTTACTTTTTTTGTTTTGTTATGGGTGGGAGGAGAGTGCATGTGAAAATTTAATCATAAACCATTATACCTAGCTGTCTGCTGACTTTAACATTATACCAAGTCGTAATTACGTAGCTATTTATATGAGTGTAAAAATACCAAGCAAGTTCACTCAACAAATTTAAAAGTTTTACTGCTGAAGTCATATACAATGGAACCTCAGTATGCAATCTTAATTCATTCCAGAAGGCTGTTCGAGTGCCGATTCATTTGAGTATCGAACAAGTTCTTCCCAACCAATTTTCTGTTTGGTTGGCTGTTATCACTAATCTTCATAGGCCCCATGGTGACTTATTTATACAAATAATACAAAGAATACAAAGATGGGATAGAAGGAAATAGAAGCAGCAAGTAAGAGAGAGGTGAAGGTGTTTAAATATGGTTTTTAATCCTTGACGTGCTGTTGGAGTGTGAGCAAAGTAACATTTATGAAGGGATTCAGGGAAACCGGCAGGCTGGACTTGAGTCCTGGAGATGGGAAGTACAGTGTCTACACTCTGAGGGAGGGGTGTTAATGTTGCAGTTTCATAACTGTAGTGTAAAACACCCCTCTGGCAAGACAGTGATGGAGTGAATGACGATGAAATTTTTTTTTTTCAGGTCACCCTGCCTTGGTGGGAATCGGCTGATGTGTTAATAATAATAAAAAAATGCAAAGAAACACGAAATAGTTTACAGCAAAGTTCTGGCAGGTCTTATTTGTTTGATTGAGTGCTGAGCTTTGTTTGAGTAGGGAGCTAGTCATGCACCGAGGTTCCACTGTATTACCACAATAAATTAAAAAAAAAAAAAAAAAGTTTAATTTTTATATAAGAAACAAAACAAATTATAACTCAAAATATGACCCTGGTATAATCATCAATTATGTGTAATCAGAATAACTTGCATTCCCAAAAACCATTACATTACCAGTAAGAATTTAATTTGAATCTTTTGGGTGAAATCAATGAAAACTCACTTAAAAATTTTATTGAAATCCAAGAACCAGATAGAAAGAAAAAGATATCTAAAAGAAGCAGAAAAGGTATTTAAGAAATCAAATAATTTGTGCGTGATAATTTTCTAATATTATACACAAACATACAGCAATAACATTTAATGTTTTGCAAGCTTACAACTAAAATTATCCTTGGTGCAGTACAGTATATGAAGCTCTGCTAAGTTTTACATTTTCATACAGTAATTACCTCAAAGAATTCCCAGCATATTTTTTCCTCCCCCTTGTGGATTGCACGATCCAAGACATTTTTGTATGTTTTGATTAGGTTGTGCCACTTTTTCTCTACTGTGTAAGGTGTGACATCATATCCCTTTTGGTTCATCTTCTCTGAAATGTGTAAGAAAGCTTCTCTCTTCTTCGTCATGATTCCTCTAACACTGCGATATTCAGTGATGAAGAATCGAGTCATGTCTGCATCCCAGGGAGCTAAAGAGAAAAACAGAGAACTATAACAATTTATGTTAAGGAAATTTATTGATTAGAAATAATATATATATATTTAAGAAACAATAAATGAAATCTCAGGCTAATGCATTTGATATACAATTCTCTTACTAGGAATGATAGCATAATGTTCTTTTCAGAATCTTCTCCAAACACTGACTTTTAAAAACACCAGCCTTTTCAATCACACCATTTAATTCTCCTTATTAGTTATTGCTCATACCCTGCCTCATCACAAACTTTCATTTTTAAATACCCCTTACACTGCTCCCAATTTGTAATATACTTTTTATGAAAAAGAGGCTAAGTATAGAAGATATAATATAGCACGTAATGAAAGTAGTTTGTTAGATTATGTATTGGTGGATAAAAGGTTGATGGGTAGACTTCAGGATGTGCATGTTTATAGAGGTGTAATGGATATATCAGATCATTATTTAGTTGTGGCTACAGTTAGAGTAAGAGGTAGATGAGACAAAAGGAAAATGGCAACAGCAAGTAAGAGAGAGGTGAAAGTTTATGAACTAAAGGAGGAGGAAGCTAGGGCGAGATATAAACAACTGTTGGCAGAAAGGTGGGCTAGTCTCGTGCGAGTATAGGTAGTGTGGGG